AGGCAATGGTAGAAAAGTGCCAGTATGAAGGCAGCTACAACCCCGCCCCAATGTTTTTTCAAGCGAGGTAGTGTTGCGAAAATGAACTTTTAACTGCAAAAGTACACTGACACTGCAGTGGTGACAGGGGAAGCAAGAGGGTATGCAGGCGGTAATAACAGAGGTAATTTAGTCCGATACGGCTAGCAATGGATACGGTAAATAAGAAAGAGCAAATCATTTCTCTTTTAATAGCGCAACCACTCAACAATGTATTGTAAGAGCATTAAATGTTGCTGGAAATGCCACTCACCTGCACGCTGATGTATGCACAGTCCTTTGTCCGAAGAGCGAACAGGCTTGCAGATAGCTGAAGACGTGTTTACGATGTGTTTGTTCCACCCAGCAGCAAAATCCACAACAACTTCGCGCTCCATAAAGATAAATATACACCAACCTTCATCACGAATAAGTAGAAACGCAAATCTGCGACACACACACACGATCAAAACATAGCTCACAAGCTCGCATGTCTATGTGCTCGCCGACCACAGACCATATGAATATGAGTAGTGCTAACGCGAACCTTGTTGCGCCGAAAAAAAAAAAAAACGTCGAGCGGTGGCAGCACAGGCGTCAGTGCAGTGCTTTCAGTATGTTCTCCTAATACACTTATAAAAAAAACTGAGGTGCACTAAAACTCATAATTAAATATCAAAAATTGAGTGTAATTTTTATTTAGTGCTAGTAAACATAAACACTGAATAAAAATTACTATGTAAATTACATCACTTGCTACACTGGCGCCACATTTCTCGTGCGGGCGCAGATGGCGCAGATTTGTCATTCTGCCCTCAAACTACACGGTGAAGCGTGCTACTAAGTGTACGGCTGATGAAAACCGCGTCTGGGTCCGCTTTTTTTTTTTATTCTCCGATATATCTGGGGGGGGGGGGGGCTCCTTATGCACGTGTTTCGGAGCTTGATCGACTTTGACGCCCTTCCTTCGCGGACGAACGACGTGTCTAGGCTTTTTTTTTTATCGTATATTTGCACGTGTTTCGGCGTTCGGTCCGCTTTGACGTGCCAACTCTCCATTTTGCTGCTGCGTGTGTTAGGTACTTGCCGTAGCTGTATTCTCAGACGATAGTTATAGCGCGAGAACAAAACGACGACACAGAGACAAGAAGGACACGAAAGACACGAGCGCTGTGTTCAGCCAGCGCTGCTATCTTATTATCTGCGGATGCTAAAATAAATCACTGTTTTGGTTTGGTGAAGTTTGGCACACAGAACAAACAATAATCTGGCCCATGAATATCAATGTGGGCGGCATGCATTTTTGTGTGCGGTGTCCTGCCGGGGAGTAACCGTTCCATGACGAGAGCATTTACAGCGGTTCCTCCTTCCGTTGGTCCCTTACAAACTTAAGGTGAATACAGTTGCTCCCCCATTCTCGAACAAGTCGATCATCTTGTTCCACTTGGTCTTTTCGGAGAGTAACAGTCGGTCTGAAGGAGTAAAAACAGCCGTTGCTCTCATTTAGGCCGTTTTTGGCTTAGAGTGAAGGGTGGGAGCGCTAATTAGGGCATTGTCGCGAGAACGAATGTGAACATCTGGGCGTTGAGCCAATGTCTATAAAATTGCGCAGTCTCAATCATACGACCCGCTTTACAGGACTTAATTACTTAAGCGAGTTACTCCCCAAACAAGTTACGAGAAGTACCGATTTACAGTCGTTTCTAATAAATATTGGTTACGGTATTGCAGAAGCTGTAACTTTTCGTACACATAAGTTTTATTTTCCCCTTCTAGTAGCCACGTTCCAGGGGCAGATACAGTGCCCACTTGTGCTCATGACTGTCGTCTTTTCGCAATCAGACAGGGTTGCCTGTGTTGAGGCTCTCCGTGACCTTCGAGAGATGGGGCACCGCTGCATTAACGTACCGCGCGGATAATGTTTGGCCGAGTGGGACCTTCAGGTCTGCGTTGAGGCCCTTCCACTGTTTACCAACACAGGCCCTTGATGACATCTGGCTTTGTCCACCACTATATATATATATAGCTTAAGGCCAGTAACCACTACAAAAAGCACACAAGTTACTGCACCCTAAAGCCTTTTAGTGGTTGCATAGCAAGTTCGAAAAGTAATCAAGTCTGTTAAGTGCGCACTAGGAACATGATATCGCTATCGCGTTCATTTTTTAAAGGCGAAGGTAAAGGTCCCCCAATTTTCTCGTCAATTTTCCTTCTCTTTCCTCTCTCTCATCTTCATACTACCCTTTTCCTTCCCCCGGCATAAGGTATACCTAGCCTCCATGGCATGTGCCTGGCTAACCTCCCTGTCTTCTCTCTTTTTATTCTTCTGCCTTATAATCAAGTATACTCAATTTTAACGTGTGCGCGGCGAAACATGCGTCTTTATTTTTACTGTTATAACGATTCCCACACGAACGGTGGGTCGTAAGTCATTGCCAAGCTTGATATCCTTAATCACCACGAGCAATGTCGACAGAGTAACCGACGTGGTTTAGCGTCTATTTGATTAGCGGAAATATTTGGCTGACTGGCAGCTGAACAAATATTCGTATTATAAGTGCAGTTCCTTGGGTAAGTTGGTAGCTATTTATTATTACCTTACTGCGCACTGCTTGAAAGACGAATACTTGAGATGAAAGACTAGACGGACACAAGTGCAAGAACACATTAGTCCTTTACACTCTTAATTTTTTCATTGTTTAGAAGATACGTGCAAAGCTAGGACGTAGCGCGTGACACGTTGGGATTACCACAAAAGATGAATCTGTGACTACTCCTTTTCGCGATGCTCGTTCGGGTGTGCGCACTAACGAACTTGCGTCTATGTCGAGGTCCGTATTGGATCGCTTGTTTCATAATTTATTTGATTGATTGATTGATTCATGGGGTTTAATGTCCCAAAATCACGATATGATTATGAGAGACGCCGTAGTGGAGGGCTCCGGAAATTTCGACTGCCTGGGGTTTTTTTATCGTGCATCCAAATCTCAGCACACGGGCCTACAACATTTCCGCCCCTATCAAAAATTAGTAATTACTCTAGACTGCCCCACAAATAAACAAAACTCCAGAAAAACAGTTTGCTAATCTCGTTCAGGGTTAATATTTACAATGGATGGCGACTTGTCAAAGCTTCTTTCGATGTTCCTTACGAGAATTTGTATGCAGACCTTGAATTGCCGCTATGAATGAGCGAGCGTGCTGTTGTGATACGGAAAAAACGATAAAAATTTGCGAAAACTGAGTTTGAACAGGCAATTCTGGATACATAATAGGTTTTTCCCAACTACGCATATCAATATATGTGTACCTTTGAAAAGTCACTCACCATTCAATCACACTTTCAGAAGAAATTTGAGTGCTTCTGCTTTTATTACCTTTCGTGACTGTTAAATCGCATTCTTGGCTGAATTGGATAACATTTATCCTCACTTTTTTTAACGCGTCACGGTTTTATATTGGATATTTCAATATGGCGCGTCTAGACCTTCCTGCCTTATCTGATATTAGAGATAAAATGTTATAACCAGCGACTAATGAGCACCACATGAATACGCCTTGCAAATGTGCAGCAAATAAAAGTAACTACATATTCACCAGCCTGCAGCGTTTTCTGATGCAAAGCAGCTGAATTGAAAGCAAATCCTGTTATTGGTTGTTCGTTTAAACAACAAATGGAATGATGGGGCAAGAATAAAAGCTGAAGCGGAGCTGCTTTTGGACTTCTTGCATTGTTTCGCGGCGACGAAGTGTACATCCCATAGACATCGCCTAATATGGTTCCAAATCAGTAAGCTAACTAACTACATGTCATAATTACCATCAAATGCACAATTTTCCGGCATAAACAGACAACGCTGCCTTCACTTTAAATTCAGCGTACACCCGCATAGGAAATGTGGACATGGATATATAGGAAGGTGAAATTGATCAGAAGTAGTAAATATGCAAAAAACGGAGAATTGTTTCATTAGTGAACTTATGTACATGTCAAGTCAAGTTTATTTGAAACACATCAAGTCGGAGGTCCTTGTGCGAAAGGCTGTGATATTCCTTCACCTCTCTCGAAGGGGAAACCTGCGCACGACTATGCCGGCCAGCGAGTAGGCTGTGGGGTATTGAAAGCCAGTACTAGGTCACCATGTGCAGTGATGTGACATCTAAGTCACCGAGTTCTGTGTGAACATTTCATTAGCTTCTAAAACGACTGTGATTATTGCTTGTTACCATGCTCCTGATTGTAATGCCTCTTTTATTCATGAACGCAGTTGAGTTCTTGTGCATCTTTACTCTCGTTTTCTTTTTGCTAACTTTATGCTATGTGGCGATTTCAATTTTCGATATATTAACTGGACAAATCATGAGTCACGTAACCGCAAATCCAAAGACTTGCTTGATATGACTATGACGTTAAATTTTACACAGATGGTGTTAGAAGAAGATGTTATACTCAGAAGAAGGTGTTATAAATAAAGAAGATGGCTGACACCCCAGCCTAGTACTGTGTACTATTACAAAGTATAAGGTATAAGATGACTGCGTTTCGTTTGCGTTGCATTCAAGTACATTTTCATGCGGTGTAACCATTCAGTTTTCTATGCCTCAATCCTTGAAAACAGCGCATTTCCTTTCCTTTAAAATAGGTTTAGTGCTATGGCGAGCAGAAAAAGTCGTGTAGTGCTGCGCCTCAAAGGTAGACATATCTGATGACAACTAAAGAACATAATGGCGTAAAAGTAGCGTGAAAAGACGAGGACAAAAAAGTTAATACACAAGCACTTACTCACAATTATGTGCAATGATAAGCAACAGGCATGATAACGTCGGGACCCACGGTTGCTCGAATAACCACAAAATTAGGTTCGTGTCGTGCCGGGCCAACGTCGTCTATTGCATCCCTCTGTCATGTGGCCGTGACTACGCCAGCCACAGAGGCTGATCTTTAAAATACGTCTTAGCATCTGTCTTCTTTTCAGGGGAGACCATCAACGCATTTGCCCATGTACTGCGCTGAGTGCCAGTGCGACGCGCCACTCCCCGCAACGGAGATCTTCTTCAAACACCACAATCGCCCGACACAAGAGCTTGCTGAGTCTTCCCATATTTACACGAGGGCTTCTATGTGGGTTAGTAATCCTTTGTCCTTATCGAAAAAGTAGTGATACTACTCAATGTAAGGGTTTAGCCTGTTGGGGAGGGGGGGGGGGTTGCTGCAGGAAGTGTGTTCTTGTTCTCGTTTTTGCTGTTTCCCTTGCCCACGATGCGCATGAGCGGGAATGACTTCAATTTCAAGTTTAGATAGATATTTTCTGTTCAAGCCATAAAACTTTCGGTTATGGGTATGCGCTTGTGGTGTTCACTTGTCCCCGTCTTTTTGCACTACTTCTACGTCATTACGAATCAGTACCAACCAGCTCATCTGTTCATTTTGCTTAGCTATAGGCTGCATGAAAGCTCACTTGTATCATTTTCTTAGGTATTGACATACCAGAGCCATGCATAATGTTTCTGTGATCAACTACATATCCGCTTCTTTGAGGCGTGTAGTCGTCAGATGATTTTATAGTTTTTCGAACATTGAGCTTTCTGCGTGCGTTTTCTTAACAAAAATAATACCAATTTTAGTCATTGCTGAAAATATTATCAGTTTTAGTCCTCGCTGCTGTTAACAATAAAGGTGTTTGTGGTAAAGAAGGCGTCACTGGTAAATAATTTCTAGATATTGTTCAAGCCTCTATAACAATGTCAAAAGGTGTCATACAGACAAGCTTGCCGGAAACACTGAGGAGTTCCTAATGCTATTAACGTCTAGGGAGCTGCGCTGAAACCAGAGCAAGCTTGCTGATTTTGCTACTTACATTGAACGCAGTCTCGTAAAGACTGCCCCGTGAGCGTCATTAGAAATATATATACAGCCTCTCGTAAACACGTAAACAAGCAACCAGAAATAATGACACAATATAGCACAGCAATACTTCGCGTTTATTTTTCTTCGCTCTATGCTGCACCCAAGTTGCGATGTCACTGCACGTCTCACAAAAATATTTGAAACCGTTCCTACACCAATGCGAAGCAGCTTCTCTCGCAACACAATTTCACTTCCCACTCTCTTCTCTGAGCGGTGAAGCGTCTCCCTTTGGGTGTTCACCTCGACGTTCTTCTGCCGGCATCAATTTTTTCTTGGAAGGTGTGACGGAGGCCGACGATGAATCGCTGAGGCTCTTGCTTTCTTGTCCCAGGCTACCACTGTTAGACTTGGAGGGTCCGACGTGAAGCAACGAATGTTTTTGGGTGTGCTGTTTCTCTTTCAACCCAAGCGTGGTTCTGTTGGTACCTGATTTGCATGGTGAAGTGTGTTCCCCACGGCAGGAGGCCACGCCTGAAGAAAGCGTGGCTTGTCTTTCAGAAAGGACCCTCCTTGGTCCCCCAGTGTGTCCTGTACTGTTGATCGCATACTTGTGTCGCCTGCTCGAATCGTAGGAGACTACACGTGTTGTCTTGTTACTGGGGCTAGCATCCTGATCATTTGCTCTGGCGACACGCTGGTTGTGTGGCAAGGTAACATTTGAAGGTCGCGCGAATTCTCGAGAAGATGAGGTTGCCCCGTTGCTGTGCCTGGATGCAGTAGATCCGAGCAAATCAAGAGGCTTTCCAGTAACTGGCACCGCATTTTTGACGTCAGAATGTGGTACATGTGCTCTGCTGTCTTCACTTGCATGAATGGTTCTTGCTCCAGGGGTTACCGAGGCACACGACGTTATTTCGAACAGACCAGCCAGGGCACACATTATGATCACGCGCATCTTGATGCTGGACGACACCATCGTGCGCACGCTTCAAGTGAATTTCTCCAAGAAACGACCTGAAGGGATGGCATTCTGCGTTATATAACCGGAATAGCGCCACGTCGGCTCCATGGGTACGTTAGTCGATGATGTTTCGGCAGTTTTCAAGTGATTTGTTATGCAAATACCAGCCAAGCACGCAGCCGGAAGGAAACCTTTCAAAACGCGGACGCTGCAACTACGACCCGAAGCAGACAGGTACACCGCTGGTTTAGCTTTCTGTTGCTGTATAAACGAAAGTCATCAAAAGATAACATTGCTTTCTTTGCACGTTGGACGGGGCTGCGGAGTTAGCAGTCTTTAGGCTGCTGGAAAACTGCAACGAATCAACCTTGAGTTTCAACCAAGTCTAACCCATTCTCAAGCGTGTGATCGTTCTGCTCTCGGAAGAACAAAGTAAGAAAAAATTTGGCTGTTTTAGGCATTCAGGAAGCGCTGAATGAGGAATACGACGGCACGTCTCCGCACTTTTATATCAATTCACCTACGTTTTGGCACGCCGAATGTTTACTTCTATCTTTAAGCACGGCTTTCTCTGAGCAGCATTATTTGCAATAAGCTTAAAACGTTGATCTGAAATGCCAATACAATTACAGAAAGAAGTAAAGTTAACGATTCGTTATGCTGAGGATATTCATCCGCATCTCCTGAGCGCCAGGTGTGCTCATGATTAATGTCATATTAACGTAACATCATATATATTGGCGATAAGGACACGGACGGGGAGGGCGGTACCAACAATTCCGGTCGCTATCTCACTTCTCACCCGTGTCTTGATCGCCAGTGTCATGTTACGTAACTCTAACCAAAATCAAATGGCCCATGTTCACGCTTGTTAAGGCTACGAGATTCGGTCGCCATCAATGGGTTAAAAAATACGCATTCAATGAATGCTATGAAAACGATTTTTTGCGGAAACAGGTTCCTCGTTTGCATGTCGCTAGCGCATAAGAGAAGTGCAATAGTGAAGGGAAAACATAGTACACTATCATGACTGCTTTTTGTACCCGTCAGAGTGCAATCACCGCTGACGAAATGAAAATCTGCTTCTTTAAGAGTGGTATCACTACACTATCATGCAGAGAGCCACGCATCCGGGTAGCAGCCCCAAGCTGTGGCTGAACGGGTACTGTGTTACAGCTGCTGCGCTTTTGAATCACTAAAGCTAGTTCTCAGCAGCAACAAATAAAAATGTGGGGCTATAGAGCTGCACCCCCCAATAACAAAAGAAAATGGAGATGACGAGAATTTGATCGCCCTCAAGTTCAATTTACGATAGGTCCAGTTCCTTTGGTCACACTTTTGAATCAGTTCTCGATAACGCCATGTGAATGGAAGGGAAGGTCGCTTCACTACGGAAAGCTCAAGTGTATAAAGTGTCCTTTCGGGCTCATTTCACGGACATGAAAGTGCAAGTCTTATTGCCTGCCGACCATGCGTCTCAGGTTGCAATGTTGAAAGATCCGCAGAGAACACGGCGTGCGAAGTAAGGAAGAACGTATGTAGAGATGTTGGAGAATAAATGACCGGTAAAAAGCTACAGATTGTACAAGCATGTAATAGCAAGAAATTTTCACAATTAGTTGCAATGTTTGTGCACTACATCACAGTTTTCTTTCATTCCTTAACAACGCACCAGAAAATTTCCTATTTCGCAGGATAATTTCCTATATTTGTGGTTTTCCTGTGAGGTCGCGTTAGTTTCTAGTCACCACGTGTTTTTGCAAATTTGCATAACTAATTGACCGGATAATAGTACCAGAACGATCTCCTGTGAAATTATTCCGCACATCCCTCTGTGAAATAGTGCATATTTGGGCATGAAAATAGCTTTCTTTATAACACATATTATATTTTTGAAAGCTAGGCACCAATTCAACGACAGCACCTCTGCTGGTCAGTTTTGCAAAAGCAAGAGTAAGAAAAGTCAAATAGGCAAAAAATTGGCCCCATATCTGCATGTTAATCTAGAAATGTCGTCAAAAGACGATAGTCTTGCGCATGAGAGAGTGAACAAAACTATTGTTTGATGTTTGCGCAAGAAAATTGGTGAATATTCTGGGGGCACTGCGTTAGAGTGCCCCGGGCGTGCAGCGGAGGCGAACGAACACATCAAGTCACGTCACACGTGAGATATGAGCGCCATCTGGCAGTTTTCTTGAAAAACGAACCGCGTGGCTCTGAGACTGGCGTGCGCACCTGTCTCAGAGGTGATAAGGTAGAGAACGCAAGGCAACGGGTAGGTGCCACCACCGCGTCGTCTTAGAAAAGTCTCGGTAACACTTCCGTGCAAGCGTTACATGGTCAGCGCAGCGTGATAAACACTACGGTCATTAGAATTGCTTATGTATGCCTTTTCTTGTAAAATACGCACATGTAGAATATGTACGTGCTGTTATGGTGCCTCAGATATGCGCAATAATTGCTTTTTAATTGACAACAGCACAAGTACGAACGCTGAATCTTGAGCAACATTGATGGGCGCTGCGGATGAGGTCGGCCATTTGGGGCATCGGCTGGTGCTGTTTAAGGTACCCGGTTCGCAGTAATGGTGGACAGACAGACAAATGTACAGACAGACCAAATATTTTGCGTCGAAGGTCCCCTAGAAAAACTATCGTCTTTAAAAAAAATAGTCAGTGCTTCCAGGGAACAGAATACCGCGTCATGAAGACTCGCAAGAGGCGCAACTGCGGGTGATGTTCTCTTACTAAAATGAGGTCCACGCAACTTTCCTCACCAGCTCTTGAAAATTGATTTCCTGGGTCACTTGCTTTGGCTACTCTATTCCAAATACCTGTTCATGCAATTGGGACATGGTGCCTTCATGAGGCAGTGGACAGTGTTTTCCACTTTCTATAAACACTCTCACGAGTCAATCCCACATTTTTTCAGGAAAATAGTGGCTTGATTTGAGCCCCGACGCGGTGGTCTAGTGGCTAAGGTACTCGGCTGCTGACCCGCAGTTCGCGGGTTCGATTCCCGGCTGCGGCGGCTGCATTTCCGATGGAGGCGGAAATGTTGGAGGCCCGTGTACTCAGATTTGGGTGCACGTTAAAGAACCCCAGGTGGTCAAAATTTTCGGAGCCCTCCACTACGGCGTCACTCATAATCAAATGGTGGTTTCGGGATGTTAAACCCCACAAATCAATCATGGCTTGATTTTGATGAAATGTGTCTCCTACTACTCTTTTTCCGTTTATATCAACATACCACAGCCGTTTTTCATATCCATGTGCAAAAATATACGTGAACGTACAAAGGGCTAACATAGTCAAATACTATTTTTGTTGCCTAGAATGGGAAAAGTTAGGGATAAGAGTTAATGGAGAGTACCTTAGTAACCTGCGCTTTGCCGAAGACATTGCATTGCTGAGTAACTCAGGGGACGAATTGCAACTCACGATTACGGAGTTAGACGAGGAGAGCAGAAAGGTGGGTCTTAAAGTTAATCTGCAGAAAACAAAAGTAATGTACAACAACCGCGGAAAAGAGCAGCGCTTCGAGATAGATAATAGTGCACTTCAAGTTGTAAATGACTATGTCTTCTTAGGGCAGGTAATAACCGCGAAGCCAAACCACGAGATAGAAGTAACTGGAAGAATAAGAATGGGGTGGAGCCCATTTGGCAAGCACTCTCAAATTATGACAGGTAGATTGCCACTATCTCTCAAGAGGAAGGTATATACCAGCTGTATCTTGCCGGTACTTAGCTACGGAGCAGAAACCTGGAGACTTACAAAGAGGGTTCAGCTTAAGTTGAGGACAAACCAGCGAGCAACGAAAACAAAAATGGTAGGTGTAACCTTAAAAGACAAGAAGAGAGCAGAGTGTATTAGGGAACAAACGGCGGTTAAGGATATCATTGCTGAAATCAAGAAGAGGAAATGGACATGGGCCGGACATGTAGCGCGTTGACAGAATAACCGCTGGTCATTAAGGGTAACGGACTGGATTCCCAGAGAAGTCAAGCGGGTTAGGGGGAGACAGAAGGTTAGGTGGGCAGATGAGATTTATTTATTTTATTTATTTATTATACCCTCAGGGCCAGAGGCATTACAGAGGGGAGTGGTACAGAACAAAGGCATAACATGAGGTAGCATGGTTACAAAAAACGTTGTGTACATAAAAAGGAAAAGGAAAGACAAAACAAATTAGTATTATCGCAACAATGTGGTCACACAAACACAGATTAAACATCAGATATTTCTGCATATACAATATGGCTAAGGCAGCACGGAACAGTTGGTTATTGGTGATACCCCGCAATTTCAGTGGGAAGGTGGTTCCATTCACGGGACGAACGGGCAAGAATGACTGAGTGGCAGATTTTGTATGATAATAGTTTATGCCACCTTGTGACGGTGGTCAATGCGATGGGAAATGTATAGTGGTTGGGGTAAGAGTTCGTTGCGCAGGAAGGAATGATAATATATTTTATGTAGCATGGTTACCGAAAAGTTTCCTGCGCGATGATAAAGAGGGAAGGGAAAGGCTGCTTTTCATTGAAGATATGCTGGCAGTACGGTTATAGTTTGACAGGATAAAGCGAGCGGAATTATTTTGAACAAGCTCGAGAGAAGCGATTAGATTTTTTTGGCTTGGATCCTATACTGATGCTGCGTACTCTAACTTGGGGCGTATTAAGGATTTGTAAAGCGATAATTTTAGTGACGATGGGGCTCTAGAAAAATTGCGGCGTAAATACCCTAACATGCTATTAGCGTTGTTGATGATATGTTCAATATGTGTTGACCAGCTGAGATTAGTTGTAATGTGCACTCCAAGGTACTTATATGATGTAACTAGTTCTAAAGCTATGTTGTTTAGGTAATAAGTTGACTGATGCTTGGGGTTGCGGGATACATGCATAACCTTACATTTGTTAATGTTTAATTTCATCAGCCAAGTTTGGCACCAGTTAGAAACAGCGGTTAGATCAGACTGAAGGATTCTAATGTCGTCACTATTATTAATCTTACGAAATATCACACAGTCGTCTGCAAACAAATGAATATTAGAGCACAATTTTGAAGGGAGGTCATTAATATAAATAAGAAATAGAAGGGGCCCTAGGACGGATCCTTGTGGGACCCCAGAGCGCACTTCGCTGAAAGAAGAGTTAAAGCCATTAGCGTGAACAAATTGGGTGCGGCGGGTAAGGAATGATTCAATTCATTGTAGCACGTTTCTATCAAGGTTGAGGTTACTTAGTTTGTGAAGTAGAAGTTGATGACAGACCTTATCGAATGCTTTAGAAAAATCTAAATAAATGCAGTCTGCTTGAGACGAACTGTCCAGGATAGTGTGCAGTTTTTCAGTGAAGGTTATGAGCTGTGTTTCACAGGAGTATGTTTTACGAAACCCGTGTTGCGCAGGAATGAAAAAGGACTTTGATTGGAGGAAATTTACAAGATTTGTAAATAATACATGTTCTAGAAGCTTGCAGCAGGTGCTAGTAAGGGAAATGGGGCGATAGTTAGTAGGAGAACATTTATTTCCGGATTTATAGATAGGAACCACCTTCCCGATTTTCCATTGAAGAGGTAGCGTAGATTGATCGAGTGATTGCTGAAAAATTTTTGCCAAGATGATTGAGCTAGTTGCAGATGTATTTTTCAAAAATTTAGCGTCAACGCTGTCATAACCAGGTGAAGAATGAAACTTCAAATTGCTTATGAGGGCGGCAATACCAGGAGCGTCCATGCTCACTGGTGGCATTTGGACGTAATTGCAGTAAGGTAGGTAGGGCAAAGAGCTCTTGGATTTATGCGAAAAATGGCTTACAAATGTTTCATTAAGGACACCAGCACATTCACTTTCAGAAATATAATCACCATACATATTTAGGAGAGAGATGGAATCATTAGACGTCGGGTTAATAGTGCGCCAAAATTGTTTCACATTTGATTTTAGCATGGAAGGTAATACATTCGACATGAAATTTTCTTTAGCATTTTTAGAGCTGTCACATAGCTATCAGAAGCTTCTTTGTAGGCAGCCCATTTTGCATTAGTCTGAGAAAGTTTAGCAGCACGATGTAAACGTTTCTTTTTGTTTGATAGGCGTTTGATGCTTGGGTTGTACCATGGGCATTGTGCATGAGTCGTAATGAATTTCGTGGGGATGTACTTATCGGTTAGTCGGCGAACTTCGGAAGAAAACATATCCCAGTTAGTTTGCACAGTTCGCTCATCATAATCCTTCAAAAAACATCAAGGAATACCGCAAGTTCATCATTTATGGCCTCAAAATTTGCTTTCCTGTAGTTCCTTGTTATTTTTCTTTTCTTGCTACATGTGTGTGATGGCGCATTGATACAGAATGTGAGTAATGAATGGTCACTTATATCCGGTAAGCAGGTAATGTTGGATGCAAGGTCTGGTGTATTTGTTAAAATTAAATCAAGGGTGTTGGCGACGTGAGATGTTACCCGCGTGGGTAGTGTAACTAATTGTGTAAGCGAAAAAGTCGATAATAGTTGCAGGAATTCGCTAGCTTCGCTTGAAGATGGTGACAAAAAGGGTGGGGCGGCATGCCACTTTATGTTTGGGAGATTAAAATCGCCAAAAAGAAACAAAGGACACGAAGGGAAACGGGTATGAATGATGTTAAGAACATCGTGTAATTCATTAACGAAAGTCGGTGATAAGGAAGATTGAGAAGATTGCGGGTATAAATTAGCAACAGCAAGCACAGGACCGGGTTAACTGGCGGAACCTGGGAGAGGACTTTGTCCTGATTTGGAAGTAGTCAGGCTGATGATGATGATGATGATGATGATGATGATGATGATTTTTGTGGCAGTATACTACCAAATGCCTTGAAGTAACGTTATATTCTTTTGGTTTATTTGCAGACCGCTCTTCAGAGATGGTGCCTGACAGTGTTAAATAGCTCCGCTAATAAAGGGTACGTCAGCCATATGATTCATGCCAGCATCGCCTTACGACATAATGCAACGTTTTGGGTGCTGAGCAGGGCCCACACGGGATAACCTTAACTTTCAACAGACTGTTCAACGCGATGAATAACTTTCAGTGACTTCACTTTTCCACTGTCCAGTATTCAAGGACGTAACATAGAAATTACTTTCTACATACACAGGTTCCAACGAGTCTTTAATCCAGTATGAGTTTTAGTGCATACATCGATTTTTTCGTACTATTTCAGGCGAAAACCTAACCTAAACACAAAAACCTAAAGTTCAAGTCTTCACTAAGAGCGCAAAAGATGGGCACATGCTTTTATATGGCTCCTGGTACGTTCTGTATACTTGTCGCTGTGCAGCGTCTCGCTTTTGAGTTGATATTCGCTCTGGGTGCTGACGAATAATGGAGTACAATCGCTCATATCTGGTCAAGCAATATCTAGCATTTATGATCTTTCATTGATGCACCGCGCAGTCACGACTAGCCCACAGCTAAGCACGGAACGTGAGAACAACACCGACGTCACACCAAACGACTGAGCCAGCCCCAGTCTACGAGAATTGTCCCGGAGCACTGACTCCGACCTGACAGGACCGGAAAAACTACGGCCACCACTGGTGCTGCAGAAGTAAAACAAAGCACGCAAGCTGTGGCCGATGCAACGCAAGAGTGAGTACCAAGGCGCTACATCTTAGAAGTGGTTGTTTGTTTTTACGCAGAAATAATCTAAAAGAAAGTGACATTGTTTCCGCATAAAAATAAACACTACTTTGATGGAACGCCCTGGCATTTACTTTTGCGCAGCTCGACCACATCTCGCTTGCTCCGTTTTACTTTTGGAACACCTGTACAATGAAAGCTCCGTTATTGCCTATAGCTACCTCACATGGTTGGCCTTCATCGGTTGCGCCATCGCAGCGTTGAAGACTTCACCAGCCACTGCATAGATTACTATTGAGCTCTTTGTGGGAGGTACTTGCACCTAGCGCGGCAAATAAGACTCACAATGCAATCGTCAGTCTTCGAGTCTTCTAAACTCTATGAATCTAACGCGTTGTTGTTGATACTTGAGCCACGAAATAGTAGTATAATTATTGCTGCTGGCGTACTTTAAATGTCCTGTGCCACTACGCACTGTGCAAGCTGTCGTGCTAGTCAATTGGCGTATTGCCACACGTGCGATGCTTGAAAATTGTTCTCGTAAAGTATTACACAATTAAGACGACGAAACCGCGCTCTGTCACCACGAGGCCAAATCTTTTAGCAAAACAAAGGACATTTTGTATACCATCGGCTATTTATTAAGTTAAATGCTTACAGTTGGTGTTTCTGCACAACTCTTTTTATTTGAAGCTGTTCAGCCGTAGATAGTTCACAATAAAGAGGGAAGTACGTATGACAGGACATCTTTGATGCGTTAGCGGGCATGTTCTTACACGACTTAATACAACTAAGCGGCGTAAATTACGTTACTACTCAAAGATATATTCGCCGCAAACGGTTCGTACCTTTATCGCAGAGCACAAAACGTTTTCAAAATAAATTTAGTTGCTTCCAGTATGCACCAATATTTTTTGTAATGAAATACAAAGCGCTCATAACGTTTGGAGCACGCAACTATGAAAGCGCTCTGAACTCTTTAACGTTGATGATTCCATTTAAGAATGCCTTTTCACACTCGATTTCAATAAAAAGTAACCGCCAATGACGCCAAGAAAAGTATAGAGGATGTTATTAGAAGTAAATGCGTTGCAAATCTGTACAATAAAACGGGGAAGAAAAGACCACTTACCACCGGCAAAGAGAGAACCTGCTACCTTCTAATAACGCGTCCAATGCTTTACTTCTAATAACGCGTCCAATGCTTTACCACGGAGCTGCGGTGGGGCTCATGCTTCTGCCCACTTTATAGGGTTTATATGTGCATTTAAACGTGGCAGTATTAATTAGCGCCTCCAGTTGTCATTACGGTGAGCGTGGAGCACTTTTTTTTGCCTTTTTGCGTCGCGTAGCACGCGAACCTATTACGAGCTGACAGCAGACCAATAATCCCTCTTTTACTACCTGAACGCATCAAGCCTGTCAGAACCAGACCCTCGCTATGAATGACTGAATGAATGAAGGAAGGAAGGAAGGAAGGAAGGAAGGAAGGAAGGAAGGAAGGAAGGAAGGAAGGAAGGAAGGAAGGAAGAAAGGAAGGAAGGAGGAAGGAAGGAAGGAAGGAAGGAAGGAAGGAAGGAAGGAAGGAAGGAAGGAAGGAAGGAAAGGAAGGAAGGAAGGAAGGAAGGAAAAAGGAAGGGTAAATTTAAGAGCTCGCTTAGCGACAATATTATCGAGAACTAACAGGCAATGACCCCAAAAACGTATAGGGCGTGTTATTAAAAGTAGTAGTAATGGAATTGTGAAGAAAAGTGGACTAAAAGACACCTAGCCTCCAGAAGGGACAGAAGAGTTCTCTTTTCGTACACTTCTGCTTTTAACATTTACGTAACAACTACTTCTATTAACATCGCGTTTAATAGCACCCTTACACTTTCTCTGGAGTCATTGTCTAAAAGCTCTCATTAATGTTGTGTACAGCAGAGAAAACGAGACCTTCAACTTTTACACCTTTCCTTTTACACTCCTTGTCGTTTAGAGAAGCGATTGTGGAAAAAAGAAAGAAGGGCAAGTACAGAAACCATCGACACAGGGCATGTGTGTCAACTGAAAAGGACAAGCACAGAGTTTCCTACTAAGCAGATGGCTATGAACGACAGTAATTTGTATAAAAGCAGAATTGGCCGCAACTACTTTCACCTATCTTACATCGAGAGACTAAAGAACTTGTTGGACAGCATGAAAAGTTTTTATTTCATGAGCGCTGTTTTCATCATGGCAGTGAGCTTAGCAATACGGTAAGCACGAATTCGAATATCAAGACATTATTATGTATAGAGAATACGTATCATCTGCGAGGTCTAGAAAGTCAAAATGGCTTTGCCCTATCGCATGTGCAGATAGATAGATAGATAGATAGATAGATAGATAGATAGATAGATAGATAGATAGATAGATAGATAGATAGATAGATAGATAGATAGATAGATAGATAGATAGATAGATAGATAGATAGATAGATAGATAGATAGATAGATAGATAGATAGATAGATAGATAGATAGATAGATAGATAGATAGATAGATAGATAGATAGATAGATAGATAGATAGATAGATAGATAGATAGATAGATAGATAGATAGATAGATAGATAGATAGATAGATAGATAGATAGATAGATAGATAGATAGATAGATAGATAGATAGATAGATAGAATAGATAGATAGATAGATAGATAGATAGATAGATAGATAGATAGATAGATAGATAGATAGATAGATAGATAGATAGATAGATAGATAGATAGATACGCTCAAAGCCGCTGAAGTTCGCTAAGAAAGGCTTCTCGTTTAAAAAGAGAATGTGCTCAGAGCTGAGCAGATACTGTACTGTAAGAGCACCAACAAAGATGTACAAACAGCAAAAATTTACAATGCATGCCTAAAGCTTATTTTTTTTAAACTGAGCCTTTTTTAACTTTAATCGCACACTTCATAACTTTGTTTTTTTAGCATACATGTTCACTGCATACTCAGCACATCAGTAATTACTTGCGACGAGAAATTCTAGCTGTAGTAACTGTGTAACTTAACTCTAACACTATATGTAGCAAGTCTGAAAAATTTTTAATTGATTTATATGGGAGGTTTAACGTCCCAAAAGTACCATATGGCTATGAGAGACGCTGTAGTGGAGGGGTTCGAAAATTTAGACTACCTGGGTTTCTTTGACGTGCCCCCAAATATGAGCACCCGGGCCTACAACATTTCCGCCTCCATCAGAAATGCAGCCGTCGCAGCCAAGATTCGATCCTGTGACCTGCGGGTCAGTAGCCGAGTACCTTAGCCACTAGACCACCGCAGCGGGTCTGAAATACTTTTTTAGGCCCATCAAAAAAATACATATTACCTATGATAAGGGCTCACGGCTCAGAATTAAAACTATTGCCTACCCTGCCGACACGACGCGATGTTGCACAATTGAGAAGTACTCAATGTACCATTGCACAGCAAGAAAGGATCAAAACTGCACGCATCTGCGATTGTTTATTTAACAAATTTAGCAAAACTACATTGCCCTCACTGCGCGAACTATCTATCGGCAATGAGCAAGTTTCCTTCCCGATTCCATATCATGCATTCACTTCACTTTAAGATCAACACTTCAGGGCAAGCGCCGTATCTGACGGCAGAATCAGGCCCTTGTCCTGAAGCCACGGTATTAAGCTTGAACGCCGCAACACAATGAGAGCGACTTTCATTCAGCGATCTCGATGTTCAGTTCTATGCATATGCTTGTTAGCTTTCAAGAGTCTTTACACTTGGGCTCAAAGCTTTCGATATGTATGAGTGGCTTGTTTTGTTCAGACCCGACCATATATATTAGTTGTACTGGCTAGGACATGCGCAATAAACGATGCAAACCTTACTTGACATTATTTTTGTTAGTCTAGGCCAGTTAGGTCACCTGGCGATAAATACAGACGCAAACTCTGATTTAGCAACGAAAAAAAAAATGCCAGAGGAAGCGAGCAGCGCGAACCAGCAGCGAACCCCCCACCTGCAGCATAAAAAGATGTGTCTGTTTATTGGTGATGATAGTACTACCAGAGCTATGTAGTCTCGCGGAATTGCAGATCAGTACGCCGCCACTACGTATTAGGGGCAAAGCTTCTTAAGGCGTTGGTCTGTTTATCCCTTGTATGTATGTAGTAGTACGTTGCCACCGGGGGCATATACCCGCTCTAGAGCGGATATATGCCACAGGGGATGCGATATGGCGGTACTTGCAGTGTTCACTAGATGGACGCATGTACGGACGGACAGACAGACTATCATACGGACGGACGGACGGACGGACGGACGAATAGACGCACAGACGTACGGACGGATGGACGCACGAACCGACAGACATACTGATGGATGGACGGACCCACGGACGCACGCGTGGATGGAGGCATGGATTGGTCACGCGGACGGACGGAAGCAAAAACGAACGAATGGACGGAAGAACGGACGGGATGACGGACCCTTCGTCCCACTCATCATCTTTCACTCCGTGAATGTGCTGTGATTTTTTTGCACGTTATTTTGATACAACAGCCCAAAGGTACAGTTTGCGTTCTCTAAACTGGTAGGTGATCTGTGGCTCCATCAGGTGAGCTTGTTTACTTCGTGGTTGTGCCTTGTTTCTGCCTTGATCTGTGCCCAGCAAAGCATCAGTTCTGCCTGTTCGTGGGGATTTCTTGCCATGGCACTATTCTCTTTCACTGATTAGAAATTTTCGCCATGGGACGTTCACTGTTTTGTGTTCTTGCAAGGTGGGGGGACTCGATGGCGATGCCGAGTACCTACGCGGCATATGGCTGCCGCAGCACTAACGGTCGCGATTAGGCCACTTTCCACAAGTTTCCTCGTGATCAGAAGGTGGCTGCAAAAGGGGCCACTGCAGTTAAAAGAAAATACTTTAAACCTATATACATGGGATGAAGTGCACTGCGGTGGTCGCGAATCTGCGGAATTTCGAAGCAGCAGCAGCAGTCCTCCTCTTTCCATTTGTATGTATTGTGTGCATAGAGTAATATAAAAGGTCAAGAGTGGACACTTCCATAGGTCCCTGCGGCTGATTTGGGTTCGCAGTGCACCAATGATATTTGCCCTGACTAATAAATTGCGAAACTGCAACACCACTATTCTTTTTCATGACAGAAAAGTCGAGAAGAATATATGTCAAAAATTTCTTAGAGTGTGGTTTCAGGAAGATCTGGGCTAGAACGCACATGTAGACAAAATTGTCACAGAATTAAGTAAAACATGACAGCCGTCTTTGAAGCGCTTTTGCGGAAAAGAAAAAGTGAAGGTACTAGAGCTACCACGGGGGAACAAGGAACTGAAACCGTAAGACCTGCAGTGATTCCTTGTGTTCATAAGGTCTCCCACTACCTAAAAAAGATAGCATGCCAGGAGGTGGTTCTAGATTTGTAACCGTTGGTTGAGGGCGACGGCTGTGAAGCACCTGCTGGACCTCGTCCCGAATAATATTGGTGATGCTGCTTACCTCCGGCTGTCTCGCCCCGTGTAGTTTCGCGATTTCCTCGCGGACGACGGAGCGGACGATTTCGCGAATCCACTCAATGCTGTTGCTCCCGAAGCTGGCGGAAAATTCAGTAGGTGATGCAGAATTCACTTGCCGGTTGAGTAGGGCTGACCGCTGATGAAGTACCCTCTCCATCGTAGTGGCTTCGGTCAGGAATTCTGCTACACTCTTCGGAGGACTCCGCACTAGACCAGCAAAAAGCTGCTCCTTCACGCCTCGCATCAGATAGCGTAGCTTTTTTTCTTCTGGCATTGCCGGATCCGCTCGCCTGAAAAGCTGCGTCATGTCCTCCACGTACATGGTGACGGTCTCATTAGGCATCTGGATGCGTGAATGCAATGCACGTTCAGCACGATCGCGGCGGTCGGGGCTCCGGTAGGTCTCCAAGAGGCGATGCTGGAACTCGCGCCAGGATGTCAAGACATCACTTCTGTTCATGAACCACGTTCGGGCGCCGTCTTTCAAACACGCGTAGACGTTGCGGAGTTTGGCGGCTTCGTCCCAGTAGTTGATCGCTGCGACGTGTTCGAACTCGCTCAGCCAGTCGTCCACATCCTCAAACAGCTCTCCGTGAAAGGGACTAGGCATCAGCGGGTTCTGGACAGTGCAATAAATTGGTGCCGACGACGTAGGAGTTTCCATGACGCCTTGAGGCGAAGTCATAGTCGCTCTATGGATAAGCTGTGCCGGTGTCTCTGGTGGTAGGCCTCGTTGGCGGCGGCTTGTTCTGTGAACCGGCGTGTCCACGGGCACAGGGCTTGTGTTCCGGCTCCTGGATGGGCTCTTGTGCATGGGGTGCGTCGTCAGTTGTCGTACCCAGCAGCTCCACCAATCTTGTCACCAATCTTGTCTCACTCAAGGAAACCTTCCGCAGAACTGCTCGTCAAGCTAGGACAAAAAGAAAAACTGCTCCAACCCAACCTCTTCGTCCTCTTCCACACGAAAACCACGCGAATTCATGCGGCATTAAAAAGCGGCTCAATCCCAACCTCTTCGTCCTCTTCCACACGAAAACCACGCGAATTCATGCGGCAATAGCATGCCAGTATGGGGTAAGTAAAACTGTTGGCTGCTTATATAGATTGAGTACTCTGGTTCCTTCTTGGCTGAAAATTTTGTTGTAACGCACTATTTTACTCCCGACAAACTTACTGCATATTATTATGGGGCAAGACAACACAAAACAAATATAAGAAGCTAATCGTGCTGCAAAAAGAGTCTTACGGGCATTTGAGGGTTATCTTGGACGTTTACAGAATTTCAGAACACAGCCTTTTTTTATCAAGTACTCTATGTTAAAGGCAAATCAGGTGTACCAATAAAGTTAATGCAACATATCAAACAAAACAGGACACACTATATCATGTATGCACCCACCAACCCACGTCACAGCTTTAGGTAACACTATCTGAAAACACCAAAAGTAAGAACAAATTATGGGAAACAGTTACAATGTTACCAAGCACCTTCACTACTCAATAGAATACACGAATTTCACGACGAAATTGTGGAAGCGTCAAGTGAATCATTTAAAACATTGCTCATTTCACAAAGTATTGAGTTTGTTTGCTAAAGCTGCTGCATGTATTTTCAATTTCCGTGTCTTAATTGCCAATTTTAGTTGTTGACTTGGGCAAAATGACCTATCAGTGTACTACGTAACATTTTTTGTTGTTGTTTATTTGCAGACATAACGTGTT